AATTTTTTTTTTTTTTTTTTTTTTTATCAATTTGCACATTATTCACTAATATTTTATACGGTTTTTTCCCTTATGTTTTCGCTGTGTTTCGCGAGCGACATCATATACTTTACGTATAAAACCGTCAAAGTATATACGTGCCGGATTAATATACCGGATAGATTTTGTTATAATATTTTGTTCGCACGAGGTCCCGTGTTTCACAATTAAACGCTATAGTGCACGCGGACGATAATGTTAAAAATATAAAAAAAAAAAAAGCATAATAAAATAATCCAATACGTATCTCGGATATCGACCTTGTAAATGAATAAGACGAGTGTACATGCCTATCCTAAGTTATGTAATAATGCCGCTTTAAATGCGTAATTTGTAATATTGTTTAACGGGAATGGAAATTCGTTAGTTGTCGTCGGAGTCCGAATTTATGTGTGCTTAAAATCTACCGAAAATAAACCTTTTGAATAATAATTAAAAATCAAAAATGATAAAAGTGTTATTTAAAATCCCGTCCTTCCTTTAAACGGCTCAAAAAGTATATATATTTTTTTTTTTATTAAATTATAAGTATTATAAAAAAAAAAAATACTTTAAAGTGTTAAGACGTAGCACTTTAAAAGTTGTATACGTTAAAATGGAGGACTTTTAAACCTCTCTTTTAATTTCACTTATTTGTGTGCTTTTTTTTTTTATGAAATCCGTTTTTGTGGTATATTTGTAGAACAAAAAGTAGGCACATGATAATTACGATGGGCATGTGTGATGTTCATTTTTTTTTTTTTTTTTTTTAATGAAAACTATTATAATAGGACTCAGAAATTGATGTTTTTTATTTTTAGAAACTTTTTACACAATGCTTTCCCAGTTCAAAAAAGGAGTTTCAATAAATATCACGCAAAACTAATTTTATTCGGTGTATTTTGACATTTTTTATTTTTTTACTTTCTAAGCTATTTTTCGATATTATTAGTGATTTTGGGTAATGTTTACCAATTATTCATTAGTCGAAAGAAAAATTAAGAGTTTATTTTAAATACTTACAATGTAGTTGAATAATTAAATTTACAATCAAGAATTTTAAAGAATTCAAATTTTCGTTAAATTATTATACTCAGTGGCATTGTGTATTATTGCATACATTTATAATTTGTTAGAAATTAATATGTTCATAATATGAATATTATAATTTTTATTAAATTATTAAGTTTTTTATTTTTAAAATCTGTTGCGTTGTTAAATAAAAATTATTTATGTTAAATTATTGTCACTATTAGACTATTTTTACGACATTTTAGATTTGAGCGGAGAATGGAATGTATTGGGTTTAAAATGGTCATTTCTTGATTTTCTGAAAAAACGGAAGAATTTACGAAATGTATTATTTTCAAATCGTAAATATTACGACCGTTCAAAACATGTATAACCGAACTTTGCTCAGAATCGTTTTTCGTTAACAATGTTTAATCCATACCTACAGATATAAATTAAATTTACCCCTTAATTCTTCAAATTTACACATACTAAAATGGCCACCCATCGTGTGAAGTATGCCTGTTTGTTTTTTACGATAATATTTGAACACCATACACTTGAGGTCTTCTACTTCAGAGTCCGAAATCAAACAGTTTGCTTGTAGATGTTACAGGTACATAATATTTCATCAAGTATAAGCATGTACAATATGATGATAAGGAAAAAAAATACACAACCAAACAGTAATTATGCCTAACGAACAGTTTACCGGAAATCCAACAAGGTTTTTAACGATTTATTCATTAATCGGTTTTTTATCGACCGTAAAACGTTTGACTGATGCATGCGTATATTTTAATACCAGATAATTATACCACGACCTTTTACAATAAAATATTTTTAAGGATTAGAAGTCAGGTATCGTGGCCTAATGATCAGAGTGATAAAAATAATAAATGTTATTATTTTTAGTTCAATGTTGAACACGCATAATAATAGTTTTCCGTACTTTTTCCGCCTATTGTTCACACATTTTGCACATTATTCTAATGTTTAAAAAAATTATTTTTCAAATAATCAGAATGTGGTCCAATGAAATACAAAAAAGCCAGTACCTTGCATATAACGGGAGTTTTATACATCGTCGCTACGTCCTCGAACGGGATTCTGTTGATGGGTATATACTCAGGCCACTGTTTCAATAGATGTAGGAAGTGGGTAAGGTTGGATATCGAAGGTAATTTAATTTATATTTTATAATTGTCGCACGAAATCGACTTTGCGCGAAGTCCTGTCAATCATGTTTCAATAAACCTGATTTGGAAATTGTTTTACCCAATTTACAACTACAAAATACATATTAAAATTGTCCGGGGTTTTCGGATAAAATTTTTAAACACTTCATTATACCAATAAAGTGGTGTACACATAAATCGTGAAATAGTAGGTATATGCCGTGATTTTTATGATTTTAATTGAAATTTTAACTTTAAAAGCTGATCAAATCATACTTTAACGAGATATATTCGTTATAAAATAGAAAGACAAGTGCGCGGAGAAAATTGTGAGCAATGAGTAGTGGAATCAGTTTCTAGTAGATTTATACAAATCATTCGACAGAGTTACTCCAAACGTTGCAATGTCAAGACTCCATGCTATTAAATCCGCGAGTAAAACAGTGTATGAGCAATTTGTTTTATAAAAATTATTTATTTTAAATGCAATGTGCTAGACGATAATAATTATATCAACGAGAAGAAATCATTATGATGTTAATTATAATAAACCCAAAAATAATTCGTGTTGAACTAATAGTGTTATAACAATAAAACCATATAGAACTTTTGGCGAACCTTACATTTCTTTAAGTAAAAATTGTGCATAACTGTTTCATTTTGTATAAAATATATCTTTATAAGACAAATATTACTTTCTTGTTACTTTCTAACTAAGATTAAAATGCATTTAGGTTTTTTTTGTAATATAGTTTAAAAAATATCAAAACATTTTGGCGATTTTTGAGGTATTCATTGGCATATTACATTTTTACGGTTTTCTTTATCTTTTATTTGATTTTATATGTATCAAAATATTATGGCCTAGAAGAAATGATTGAAAATTTGTACACGACTGTCATAATAATTTCTACTTTGTATTAAAAAAGTTGAGCGTAATATGCAGTAGTTCTTTTATACACGTTTAAAGTTTAAATTTTAACGGAAATCATAAAAAAAGAAAGATAAGACAATGGGGACGGGTGCAAATACTAGTGTAGATGAGAATTTGAAAAAGAAGGATACAGATGGGAATTTAATGTATACCTTTAAGCAACGATAAACCGTTACTAACGAAACAACGATTCTGAGCGGAATTCATTTGATGGTGATGATTTGTCAACAATATATATGCCATATTACAGTAAAATAATTAAATAAGCTCTATAAACTTTCTTTAATAATATTTCTTTAATGTTGTACCGATTTCCCCGGTTTTCCCAGTTTTTCACATTTGCTGAGAAAACTCCGGAGAAAATCGAAAAATTACTTCTCTAAAGTACCTCCCCAGTGAAATTTCCTTTCAGAAACATTGTCATAATTAAATGTTGTAGTAAAATTGCTGGTAGAAAAGTTGTCTACAGAAAAAAAAATCGTAATATTATATTTGTTATGTTTTGTAAATTTTCCAGTTTTTTTTCTGTTTTTCGCATTCGATGAGAAAAATCTTGAAAAAATTAAATAATGTAATCTTTAAGGTACTTTTCCACATTGATCTCCTTTCAGTCGCTACACGTAAAAATCGGAGCAAGTCTTCTGGTAGAAAAGTTGTCCGCAGAAAAAAAAAATAGACATCTCAGTAAAATAAGCTTCTTCACTCCACTCATAACTTAAAATTAAAGTATTTCAAAATATGTACAACCGATCTTCGCTCAGATTCGTATTGCAATGGTTTATTTTTGCATACAGATATGAAGTGAATATATCTACGGATATTTTCTTCCCGATTTCTCGCCCGCAACAATAGCACAGGCTCACCTTTCAACAGTACTCGGCATTATTTTTCTTTTTTTTTAATCTAATATAAATATATGCGATAGACAATATGAAATTAATCAATTCACGACATAAAAGCATATAAATGTAAATACAGGAAAAACTTCAAAATGTATTTCGAACACGTTGTATTTCCCGCGTACTGGCAATTATTGATACTAAAATAGACTTATAAAATACGATTAGTTATT